TTTTTTTTTTTTTTGTTCACAGAGAAGTGCTTGGCATGTACAATGGTTTTACAGATGAAATAAGAAACCACACAAGTGCATAAGCCCTGAGTATTTGTGATTAGACCAAGATCCTTGGCATCCGCCATCCCAAGCAAGATAGGGCACAGGATCTGGAGTATTCCTGTGAAGAGAGGCCAGGGCATGGCTGTCTCACTTCACCTGCTGACAGGCTGCATGAAGGCCTTTTAGACTGGAAATGAGCGAGTAGCTCCAGGAAAGCCCTGGTGAGCTATTGCACCTTCCTCCTCTGCTCTCTGAGAAGTTCCAGGCCACCCCTGCTGTGCTGGGAGGCGGGGTGGCATATCCATCACTCAGTTGGAATTCCCCTCCTGGGTCCCTGTAGAGGTGGATGTTGCCTCTTCTAGGAAGTTTCCTGGGGGACACACATTCACAAAGGTCCACTTGTGCTCAGTCCCTGCTAAGATGATCTTCAAGCCCTTTGGGATCCAGGGATTGAACTTTTGCAGTTTCTGGATAGAGCAGGTGCCTAAATATTTGTGGAATTCATGAATGACTTCATGCATGCATTTGAAATCTGACTCCAGCAAATAGAATATGTGGTAGGCCGAAAAATTTCCCCCAAAATATATCCACACCCCAATCCCTGGAACCTGTACATGTTACCTTTATTTAGAAAAAAGCTCTTTGGAGATGTGACTGGATTAATGATTTGAAATGGGAGATGATCTTGGGTTATTGGGTAGACCCTAAGTGCAATCCCATGTATCCTTATTAGAGGGAAGCCAGAGGGAAATTTTAACTACAAACACAAGAGGAAAAGTTGTGAAAATGGAGGCAGCAGCAGTACAGCACAGAGAAGACAAGTAGTGACTCTATAGCATCTTACTATGCAATGGAGAGTGACTGTGATGGGGTATGTGGGGGTGACTTGATAATGGGGGGAATCTAGGAACCACAATGTTGCTCATGTAATTGTATATTAATGATACTAAAAAGAAAATGGAGGCAGCAATTGGTTTAATGCAACCACAAGCCAACGATTGCCAACAGCCACCAGAAGTAGAAGAGGTTACCCCCCAGAGCCTCTGGAGGGAGAGTGACCTGCTGTTACCTTGATTGAGCCCCTTCAGACTCACTTGGTACTTCTGGCCACCAGAACTGTGAGGAGTAGATTTCAGCTGTTGTCAGTCACCAAGTGTGGGGTAGTTTGTTAGGAACAATTCAGAAGACAAGCCAACGACTGCCTCCTCGATGACCAAACTCTGCCTCGTCTTATGAAGTCAGAATAACGGATATGAGATGCTTGTGTCTTGCACAGGTGTTACTGGATGATAACTGCATGCTCTTCATATCTTTTTATCCAAGAAGAGAATCCTTTAAAATAGTTTTAAAAATTTTTATAAAAGTAAAACACACTTATAGTAGAAAAGGAAGGCAAAGAAATGTGGTAGAGGATAAAAGGTTAAGAGTTAGTGTGCCTTTCACTCCAGTCTCCAGAGGTCGGGCCCCTGTGTTTGCATTCTTTAAATTATCATGAATAGAAGCATTTTTACATCTTCCCATTTGACACAAACCAGGCCATTCTTTCCCACCATATGGTTCCTTTATGTTAATTTAAAAATATAAATTGGGGGATCTTTCGGTATATATATATGTATAGATACTTCCTCATTCTTTCTCAATGCATATGCAAACACTTCATTGCATGGCTATATCATAATTTATTTAACGAGTCTGAAATAGAGAATTATTGAAGTAACTGAATATGCTTTTGTTTTGACAAGGACAGGATGATTTTAAACTGTAGTTTAAGGAGTGTACAATGTTTTTTTCCCCCTAAATCATGGCAAACTCTTGTGACTACAAAAGGCAGCAAGGTAATAGAAAAGGTTCTGACATGCATTGGAGAAGTCTGGGGTCCACTGAGTAGCCTCTCTTCTCCTCTGCTCTTATACCCCCAACAAACACAACCACACTTTGTTCATCCATTCCTTCATTCAACCAGTGTATTTTAGAGTCTTGCTAGCTCCAGACCTGTGTGGACATCCTGCAGGTGACAAAGATGAAGAATACAAAAGCATCCTGCCCCAAGTAGCTTGATATCAGGAACAGTAGAACAATCCCTAACACAGTTTGAGGGTTGACTGTGAGCAGGCATTGCTCTCAAACACTCTACATCCACTACTTTACCCGAGTCTCCTGTTATTGTCATCCCATGTTTCAGACGAGAAATCTAGCACAGAGAGAGAGATCAAGTCACTTACCTGAGGTCTCAGTACCAGTAAGTGACCATGGCAGGGGGTTAATGTAGGCTGGCAGTCACCTCAGCCCAGCCACTCTCTTCCCTTGTAAAGGCAAACACTCTGTAGCATGTCACTACTTCATAAGCCATTCCAAAACTCAGTGGCTAAAAACAACAGCAATCATTTATTTGTTTATGATTCTGCAATTTGGACAGTGCCTGCTGAGGACAGCTCATTGTTGCTCTTTGTTGTTTCTGCTTGGGCTAAATGTCCAAGATGGCTTTTTAACTCATGTGTCTGGTTCCTCAGCTGGGTGTTTGGAAAACAGGGACTGGCCAGACATCAGTCCACATGGCCTTTCCATATGACTTGTTTGGGCTTCCTTACAGTATGCGGGTATCAGGCTAGTTAACCTTCTCACATAGCAGTTGGCTTCTCCAAGAGCATAAAAACAGAAGCCACAATGTTCTCTTAATTCCTGGACTTAGAAATTCAAGAACATCATTTCTGCTGCCCTCACTGGGCAAAGCAATGACAAGACAATCAAGGTCCCATTGCAAAAGAACATATCGAATGGGAGATATTGTGAGACTCTTCGTAAATATTCTTCAGAGCAGGTGAGTAGCCATGCACACAGTCATCACAAGAGAAGGAAGAAATACATGTTGCAAAAGGGGTAGAGTTTGTGAGATTGACAGATTTCTCTCTAGCTTGCAGAGTCGAAGACAGAGATTCATGGGGGTGCATTTTAATTTAGGTTGGTGGGAGGTAGCATGAGACATGTGCACATGAGAAGGAGGTTCCTGGAGCGCAGTGTGAGCAAATGCCAGAGGTGGAAGGGTGGTGTGTGTGTGTGTGTGTGTGTGTGTGTGTGTGTGTGTGTATGTGCAGGACCCCTGTGCTGCTGTGTTTGGGCAGAGGATGCGGCAAGTCGGGTAGTAGGGGATGAGTGCATGAAGGCAGGTAGGGCTGGAACAGCAGGACACTGCCTGTAAAGGAGCAAGGAGCACAAAGGCAAGACTGAGGCCTCGGAAGGATTCCTCTGGCAGGACTGACTGACCAGGAGTGAGTCTGGCAAGAAGGCAATGAGGAGGCCAGCGGTAGTAGCCCTGAGGACCAGGGAGCGGTAATGGGGATAACCAGCAATCACTAGATGTGCCTGTAGAAAGGCGGACTTAGAGATAGTTTAAAGTATGTGCCTGTGTTTTGATCAAAAGATAGTAAAAGTGTGTGTGTGTGTGTGTGTGTGTGTGTGTGTGTGTATTTTAATCACTAAATATGTCACTAGAATGGCAGTCTTGGAAATAATTTAAAGTATGTATGTGGATTTTTCAAAAAACGCAAGAAAAGGGTTGAAGAGCTGTGGGGTGGTCTGTTCTTAACCAGGAGATCAAAGGTGGCGCAGAGGTGATGGACGAGACCGGCTTTCCGTGGTGCTGGGAGGGCAGGCATGTTGGCTCGCAGGCGTGGTTCATTGGCGCGGAGGTGGAGACTACCCTTCCCCCTCCCGGAGCCGCGGGCCGCTCACAGCAGCGTCCTCCCAGAGGACTGCGGCTGCGCAGAGGTAAGGGGCTGTGCTCCCGTGCAGGAGGGACCTTGGCCCTGAGCTGAGCCGAGTGCGCTCCCGCCAGGAGCCCGCTGAGCCCCCTCCAGACTCCCTCCTGGGCCCCCCGGGAGCTGCACCTGCAGGCAGGCCCAGCTGCTGTGTCAGCGCTGCAGTAATTACGGGACGAATATGCAAATGAGCAGATGCTTGTGATTAACTTGCTTTTTCTGTTTCTGTTAAGCCCAAGGAGCACTTGTTGGAAAAGATAATTAAATTGGAATCAGATGCCTACAGTAAATATTTTATTTGGAGCCCTACTTGACAACAGAGGAAGCTGACCTTGAAGTCCAGCTGCAAATTCCCACCTTTTCCAAAGCCTGAGTCCACATCAGGGAGTGAGCTGGAGTCTGCTCAGATGGGCTCCTTGTTAAACAATCAGGGTTCAGCCGTGCTGGCCGTGCTCACTAGCTTATTAATGCTGGGGTATTAGAGCAAAGCTTATTTGCTCGACAAAACTTGTAGTGGAGCGTGTGGCGCCCAGGGCGACTCCTCGGGAGCCTCCCCTTTCTCTGTGCTCCCGTTTGCTCAGGTTCCGCCCTGAAGGGCTGATGTTTCTGCTGCCTCTCTCGCTGAGGCTGTGCCCGCACCACCAAGGGGTTCAGCTCAGTGCCTGGCCGCGAGTTCCTGCCTCTCCAGGGCATATTTCCCTCTTGCTTCGGCAGGCTGTGGTCGTGATGGTGACTCGGGCGCCGAGTGCCCGCGGTGAATCCCGCCAGGTTCCCTTTCCCACTGGGTTGCATTCGCCACGATGCACCTGACAGAAGGGAAAGTGAAAAGTAGTTGGGGGGCAAGTGGACATTTCTTTTGGGTCCACATGGTAGTTTTTTTTTAAGGAGGCACGATCACGCCCTCCACACCTTCCTCCTAATACGCCAAGTGGTGTCACCGGCCTTGTGGTGTTTTGCTTCTTTCCTCGCCCCTGGAACCCAGGGAGGGACGGTAGCGGCTCTGGTCCCTTGCGTGTGAGCAGTGGAGAAAGGAGAGCCAGAGGCGACAAACAGCACCGGAGAGCTCCCCTGTCAGGCACAGAACAGGATCTCGCGGTCTCCACTTCAAACTGCGGGAGCCCCTTGCTTTCCACGCACGCTGCAGTCAGACAGCTTCCCTCAACACACATGAAAGATGAGTCAGTCCCGGGTCCACTTTAATCTATAATCAGATACAGGGAGAGGGAACTTTCTCCCACCACCTCTTTCTCCATGTCTCCCTGCTAAGGAAAAGAGTGAATGTATTTAAAGGCAGACTCCCTTACTGCTAAAGGGCTCCCCACCCCCCCATCTCTTAGGCTTTCAGGTTACGTTATTTGCAGAACCAAAGAATTCAGATAACCAATTGAATCCAAATACCAATTAATGAACTCGACCTTTGCATCCCCTGCGCCATGCAGTCTGCAGTGCTGAGATGCCAGGCTGAACGGGAGAGCAGGCTCTCTGTCCCCACGAAGTTCATACTTAGTGTAAATAGAAAATAGATCAAACACAAGTCAGAGTGGCACGGCAGGGTCTCCTGCTGATGGTGAAAGCTCATCAGAGGCGCGCATGCCCAGCCCTGTCTGGGGCAGTTACACGGCCTCCACGATCAAGACAACCTGCTGTTGTTCACCCCAAACACCACAAATATCAGCTAATGGGCAGAGTCCTAATGTTTTACCTTCCTGGACAGACCCTGTGACTTCTTTATGAATCTTAAACGTCTTATTGGAGAAATAAAGTAACTTCTTTCAAAGGCATGTCATCAGTGTCCTTCTCTGTATGGTGTTCGGCAGTTTTCTGCTCTAAGACTCAAGGTGCACCTGCCATCCCCTGGACTGTACCCCATCTGAGTGTGCAGGGCCATCAGGTCCTTCTCCAGTGTCCTCACCTATGGAGCAAAGCCTGTCCTCTGCAGCGTAAGGAGTGAGGTGTGGAGGCCCCATCACTGCATCTCGCACACCCCTCCTTCCTGCCAGTCACACAGTTCTTGCAAACAGCGAATTTGTTGTAAAGTTCTGAGACAGGGGTCTTTCTACCTTAAGCAGGCTTGGTTCCTCCTCTCTCCACAGAAGAAGTCTTCTTGAAAAACAAAGTAAAACAAACCCCCCCTGGGGAGTCAGTGTGCTGAGGAAAGAAGGGGAATCTGGCAGCAGCAGGTGGCCCAGAACTTTCCCTGGGGCAAAATACAGGAACTGTGAAGGTAGGAGGCCATCCTGGCTGGCTTGGGGCTGCACCCACCCAGTACCTGCCTGCAGTGTAGGAACGGGGAGACTTCAGGGGCAGGGTTGCCTGAATACCTCTAGGATATAGCGTTTACCTGTGAGTGGGAAGGGTAGGCAGAGTCACCTGCAAGGTCCTGGGGAGGTGCAGGAGACCCACCAAATGTCAAATGGGAAAAAATACCTCCCCAGCAGCAGTTTTGAGCAATTTGAACATCACTTAACGTGAGCAAAGCCTCTGGTTGACATGGACTCCTTACTTAACCAAACATTAAGTCTCCTCCAAGCCGTTTATTCCTCTAGGTCTCATCCTAGGCCTTGGCCTTGACCTGCTCCGCCCAATTTTAATAATAAATCCTGTTAAGTCAGTATAGCAGAGCCCTTCCACCCTTGATACATTCAGCCAAGTTCCAAATCCCCCTCCCTTAATATTTAACCAACTTCCTCTTAGTAATTTTCCATCCATTCCCTCACTCTGCTCTTTGGCTGTAAATCCCCACTTGTCAGTTTTATATTCAGAGTTGAATTCAAGCTCTTTCCCCAGTGGCAGTAGTCCTGAATCAAGACTTTCTTGATGTTTTAACAAGTGTCAGAATAATTTCTCTTTAACATGGCTTAGTGTCTAACACTCCAGAGACCCCATTAATGTAATTATTTTTCCCACTCGGCTGAATTTATCTGTTATTTCTCCTCTGCTTCCTACCCTTGTTCACCTCCAGTAGGTACAATTTAAAACCATGCTACATTAAGTGCAGGCTTATTTTGCCAGAGCCCAGTTAGGGAAGATCACTGTACACCTATCTTGTCAGTTTGAGCTGCTGTAAGAAGATAACACACATAAACTGGGTGGCTTAAACAGCATACATTTATTTCCCGTGGTTCTGAACGCAGAGAAGCCCAAGATAAAGGCACTGTCAGGTTTGGGGTCTGGGGAGGACCCACCTCCTGGGTGGCAGCTGGCTACCCTCTCACTGTGCACTCATGTGGGGGAAGAGCAGAGAGTGCAAGGCAGCTCTTCTGTTTCTTAAGACACTGATTCCATTCATAAGACTCTGCCCTTGGGACCTAATGACTTCCCAAAGGCCCCACCTCCCAACAGCATCATACTGTGAGGTACAAATTTCAACACATGAACTTGAAGGGATATAAATATTCAGTCCATAACAGTGCTTTTCTTGTCTCTCTAGGAGGCATTTGAATATAACACAAGTGGGATGTTTTTCTGGGTTAATTTGTCTCTGAGTGTGGTTCACTTATAGAGCCTGTGCAATCCCTTAAAGCTGCTAGAATAGAATGGATGGTTAAGTGATATTACTGCCTGTCAACTTTCTGAATTAGGATCTGGCCAGAATATGCCACTTTCTTGCATTTTCTCTGGTGAAATTCACTGACACCATCTAAGTCCACCCCTCTCATTAAACTTATCAGCACCTCATACTTTGTAAGCTATAGCGAGCCATTGGGTGAGAAATTGGGAGCACATGCCTTTGGCTTGGAAGAATTCATTTCACACCCAGTTGGGTGAGTTTATTCTTAGAGATTATAATTAATGGGTTTTACCAAAGCTACCAGTAAATGGACATAATATTATTCACTATAGACAAGAACTGTGCCCTGGCATGTTATTTACAAGGTAGTGACTGAACTCTGAATCAGAGGTAGGAAGATCACAAACAAAAGAAAAAATAGAAAATATCCCAATTTTCTGTTCTGAAACCAGCTGACGGGATGAGAAAGACAAGTGGATATACAACCTTCACCTACCACTGGGTGTTCATGCTCAACTGCATTTAGACTTAGAGAGAGGCCTGCTTTGAGGCTCAGGATGCACAACAGCTCTGTGTTAGAGTTACTGTTAAAAGATGGACATAACCCCAGCTTGATGAGGACAGTTTGAATTTACACTATTGTTCCTGCATTACTATTGATAGTGTCTCTTTAACTCCCAGAAACTTCCTTTATTGGCTGATTTTAAATCATAGAATTACCCTAACCATAGCATGTTGGTAAAGATATGATTTACTTCATCATATAGAGTTCTCTTCATGAGGATTCAAAAATTATTTTTCCATTTTATTAGTTCCCAAGGCCAAGGATGTTTCTATCACTTCTCAATAACAGTTTTATTATTATTTTAGGGATCAGTAGACTCATGTAACCAATCAAGTTTCTATATTTGCCTTGAGTTTATGGGAAACTTGGGTCCATTTCTAGTAATTCTAGATATTTTTTCTAATTTTTATATCATCTTACTCCTTTTGCTCCAAATTCTTGACTGTGTGCTTATAGCATGGTTATAATTTATAATATTTCTTTGAATCAACTTTGGAACAAGGCAATTATAAATTATTCATAATGGCTAAAACACACAGCACCTTTTGTAGCATTCTGGAAACCCTGTCTTATTCTGCTCTTAGAGTTGTCACAGGTTGCCATATTTACAAACTTAAAAAAAAATCATTGTATATTCTTTTCTAAGGTCAACACTGGTCAACCTTTGCTCTCAGGAAGCTGTAGTATGTGCACTTTCCCCCTGTTCCTCCCATTGAGTACAAATAAAATCCCTTGATGTTATATATAAAACACACACAAGAAAACCCTCAAAGGTGGAGAGCAGAAGATAAACCTGCTAGAGATCTCAGGACACAGAAAACAGCATGGTGGTGAGTTCCTAGTGTTTATTTCTGCCTCATATATCCCAGAATTGGAGCTAAAGGAGTCACAACCTCAACACTCCAAAGGGTGCACACAGTCCATCCCCACAAGCCTGCTTTCTAGTCAACGGATCCAAAATGAGGCACTCTAATGAGATAGAAAACTTTCAGATAATAATTGCTCTACTACAAGCAAATACCATGCAAAAAATGTGCCTATTCCTAACCATTCCAAAAGAAGCCTGGTGGAGAGATTAGATCTCTATCTTTCCAAGGCTGCAATTAGGTGCTCCAATACACTGTGGCGGTATTAGTAAAGATGAAGTAAGGAATTGAGATCTCCTTTCTCAAGGTAGTAATATGCATCCCCTCCAGGGTGCAGCTATGAGTCACTCCTACACTTCCCAGCCAAGGATGTGTAAGTGGAGGCTTAGTTAGTGGCTCAGATTCTCATCGTTATCCGACAGTAACAAGGAGTCACTTCTTCCTTGGTTGTCAAAAGAGGGCAAGTAGGGAATGTGAACTTCCTCCAACATCTGACAATAATGAGGTGGTGCCCCATCCCTTCCCCTATTAGAGTTATGTCAAAGGAAAACATCTAAAAGAGGGACTAAATAAGACCCAGAGTCATATAATAATTGTAACATCCAAGTTTCAATTAAAAATCACTCATCAGACCAAGAACCAGGCAGATCTTAAACTAGGTGAGAAGACAATTAATAGATGCCAACATTAAGATGACAACCAAGATATGTTAGAATTATCTGGCAAAGATTTTAAAGCACCAGAATAAAGATCCTTCAATCAGCAGTTATGAACAGTCTTGAGACAAATGAAAACAATAACAAAAAAGAAGATCCTAGCAAAGAAATAGAAGCTACAAAGAAGAAACAAAACCAATTTGGAAAGAAAAAGTGCAAAGAATGAAATAAAACTCTCAATAAGTGGATCAACTTAACAATAAAGAGAAGAAAGCTTCAATGACTTGAATTAGACTAGAAATTACCCAATATGAAAAAAAGGAGAGAAAACTGGAGCAAAAAAAGAGCAGAGTATTAAGCCTCTAAAACATAATCACACATTTGTGTCATCAATTCCAGAGAAAGACAGCAGGGCTGAAAAAGTCATTAAATAAACAATGCCTGAAAATTTCCAAAATCTGAAAGAAGACATAACCTACAGATTCAAAAAGCTGGGAGAATTCCATAAACGATTAAACTAAATACATCCATACCAAAAGGCATATGGTCAAATATAGAAACTAAATAGAAAAAAATGTTTAAAAGCAGCAATAGAAAAATGACACCTTGCCTTGAGGGGAGAAGCAGTTCAGATGGTAGCGGATTTCTCCTTAGAAATCAGGGAGGCAAGAAGGGAGGACGCAACATTTTAAAGTGCGGAAAGGAAAAACCTGCCACCCTAAAATCCTATGTCTAGTGAGAAACATCCCATACTAATGAAGGGGAAATAAAAACATTCTCAGATTAAGAAAACTAAGACAATTTTTTGAGGAGTGTTACCCTAAAACAATGTGATACCAGAAGGGGCACAATGAAAAGACTCTTAGAACATCAAAAAAGAACATAGTAGTCCAAAATATAGGCAAGTGCAATAAAGTTTCTTCGTGTTTTTTTTCTAAATTATGTTTAATATTTGAAGCAAAAATTACAATGCTGTGGGATGTCTTTCCTAATTGATATGTATATTGTAAATGGAGAAGGATATAGGAATATAAAGAGGGAAAAGGTTTTACATTTCATGCAAACTGATAAAATGTCAATGCTAATGACTGTGTAAGTTATGAATATTACATAACATCTAGAGCAGCCATTAAAATATTATACAGAGATGTACTAAAAAATACAGATAAAAATGAAGAGATTCTAAAAAAAAACAACTTACAGCAAGTCAGAAAAGAAAACAGAGAAATAAACACTAGAGAGAATGAACAGAAAAAATGAATAAAATGGTAGACTTTAGCTTAACATATCAATAATTACATCAGATGTAAGCAGTCTAAGTATACAGATTCAAAGACAGAGATTACCTGTCAGTGGTCTAAATATATCAAATCAAAGGTAGAGAGCATAGTTTTAAGAAATTACTAATTCCATGCTATCTGTAAAAAATTCACTTCAAATATATAACTATATAAGCAGATTGAAAGTAAAAGGATGGAATAAGATACATTATGAAAATGTTAAAGCAAAACAAGAATTGCTATATTAATATCAAATAAAGTAGACTACAGAACAAAGACAATTACCAAGGACAGAGAAAGATATTATATGATGGCAAAAGTTTCAGTCCATGAAGACATAGCAATCTTAACACCAAAACAACAAAGCTGCAAAATATATAAAGGAAAACGTGATAGAATTGGAAGAAGAAATAGAAAGAAAAATCCACTTATATTTAGAAGGATCAAACACTCCTTTTTAGCAGTTGATAGAACAACTAGACAGATAAAAAGGTAGGGTATAGAAGAACTGAAGAATATCAGCAACAGACAATATGTAGAACACTTATAGAACATTCCACCCAATAGTAGCAAATTTTTTGCTCTTCTCAAGTGCCCATAGAACATACACCAAGATAGATGATAT